TGAAATATTTTAAAGACCAGGTGTTTATTTCAATTTCACTTACACTACTTGATATATTTCCAATGTTAACGATGACTTTTCTAAATACATATCTTCTTTTTATGTACCGTGTCCTTTCAGGACGTAGGCGATCATGGCTCTCCACCTCTCTCTATCGCTTGCAGCTCTCATCAAGTTCCTTCCCTCTGTCACTTCCACCAGACCACGGTCTGTCATCCACTTTTATGGCCGTTAGCTATGTCATGCGTTGTTTTCCCTTGTCTCTTTTCCCTATATTCGACCCGTGAGTATCAGATTCTCCAGGCCCTCCTTCCTCATAATGTGACCCAGAAACTTCAGCTGCCTCTTCCTGATGTTAAGTATAAGCCTCATCCTTGTTTTCTTCCTCTCTAAGACCTCATCTTTGTTCACACGCTCAGTCCATATTATCTTTAACATCCTTCTGTAGAACCACATCTCCATCGCCTCGAGTCTCTCCTTCATCTTTGAGGAAATCGTCCAACATTTGCTGCCGTAAAGCAGAACAGATGTCACATAAGTGTTCAGTATTCTTTTGTTTGTTACCAAAGAAATCCTCCTGTCTTGCAATACTCTGCCCAGATTTTGGAATGTGTCTTTGGCCATCCCAATACGTCTACGGATCTCAGTGTCGCATTTACCCTCCTCTGTCAGAACGCTACCCAGATATTTAAACTTCCGCGTTTGTTTGATTCTAGAGTTCCCAACCTGCAAATTGCATTTCGTGCTCATCCTCTTACTGATGACCATGCACCTCGTTTTCTTGTACTTTATGCTTAGTCCCTTCTTCACACTCTCCGTCGCTACCTTCTGTAGGAGATTTTGTAATTTTTTTTTTCGTGTCTGCTATCAGTACTATCTCATCTGCGTATTCTATGTTAAGATTGTGGCCACCAATGCTAAACCCCGGTAGGGTTTCTAATTCTCTCAGAATTGCCTCGTTGTATAGGTTGAACAGGTCTGGTGAGAAGATGCATCCTTGCCTTACACCCCTTTCTTTTTTTGTACATTCGCTGAACTCGTTCCCTACGCGCATGCAGGCTGTTTGCTGTTAGTCTAGGTTCTTCATTATTCCCAAATATATGAAAGTTACTGAGCAGTTCCAGTAGGTCCTGGTGGCGTACTTTAGAATTTAAATTGCAGCAGTTTTATGATTGACTACTTACCATCAATTGTTAAATGAGAGAAGAGGATCAGTCTATTTTTTATTTGAAATAATCATCAATATTACAGTTTAAAATAGGTCCGTAGAACAGGGGCCATTGTTATTTTGACTTCATCTTCAATTACATTGTGTACTAATTGGCTTATATACAAATCCCACTACTCTTAGACAACCATATTTTTTGCGTGAGATTAAAAAAGAAATCTGGTATATATAAATACTTGCAAAGTAGTTAAAAGAATTTCTTGCTTGGATTTGTTATCTGTGGACTCATTCTTAACAACATAAGATACACAGGTACCATTGAGGTGATGGGTTGGGGACAGAGAAAGATAAATAGAGATCCTCTTCAACAAGGTAGTAAAGAAAATCGTGAAGAAAGGAGTAAGCATATATTGTAAGAAGAGGGAAAGTCAACGTCCTGGATATGACGTTAAACTACATTCAGCAGCAAGACTTGATCAGGTGGTTTTGAGGAACGTGGAACCACCTCTTAATTGCTGTTGTTACCTTGGTCCACCCTAACCAGGCGTGGTAGCACCTGTTAGGGTCCCAGCGATGAGTAAAATAGTTAACCCCCAAACTGCGGTCAAAAGACTATGGAAGTGTAAAAATAGGTTTGTATAGTAAAAATACCAGCAATACACTTTTAGAAAAAAATATTACCAGGGGTATATTTTTGGAAAAAAATATATTACCAACAATACATTTTTGGATTAAAATATTACCAAAAATATATTTGTGGAAAAATATTACCAGTAAAGTATTTGACTATTGACAAAAACCCTTTTACAAAAATACATCAATGAAACTTGATCCACAAAGTGATTTCTTACAAAAAAAAAAAAAAAAAACATATTCTACTCATACGAATGTATCCTAAAAATCTTGTCGGCATTAAATAACTCATTGAGGTGTTGATATGCCGTAAAACAAAATAAACCAAACCAAACCAAATGGAAAGACAGCAGAAGAAACATCTCAAGATGCGAGCTGCGAATTAGAGATGTCAAAATCCATCAAGTGCAAAAATCGAAATATCTGGGAAGTGTTTTAACAGACGCCGGAAAATATGACTCCGGAAGTCAAATCACATCACCGGAATAATTGAAAGATGGTCACCAAAAGCTAAACATAGACGTAACAATGTCGTCAGAATCCCCCACCCAGCAAAAAATAGATTTCTCTGGACAATTTCCTCACAGATGAAGAGGAGACTTCAGACAAAAAGTTATTAGGTTCTAAAGAAAGATGCCGAGACATGAGGAAAATTAAAACAGGAAACAGAAATGCAACAGAAAAAGGCAGTCTAAATTTCTTGGATATATATATATATATATATATATATATATATATATATATATATATATATATATATATATATATATAATAAAAAAGGCTTAAACATTAATATTCCATGGTCATAATTTATTCCATTGGAATCGTAAATAAGATCCAATTCATCAGACCTACAAATTCAAAAAGAAAACAGAAAAAACAACTCCGGGAATAAAAAATAAAATTTAGAGAGTGTATGTATGAGAGTGTGAGACGAATGTTAGAATAAATGAAAGCTATAGGGAGGGGTAACAGACGAAAGAAGAACAGGAAGGTCTAAAGATGAAGTGGGGGTGAAATTTAACAGAGAGACGTTTTAAAGAGTGGAGTCAAAGACGGTTTAAGTGAGAGAAATATGAATATTCTTGGATGTCTAGTACATTAAAGATTTACCGGAAAAGAGTATACATTTTGTGATGACATACACACACAATAGACGATTTAATCTTAAAGATCAATATGTATATATATTTATATATTTTAGATATATGATTGCATATGTATTTACCACTAATATTATCAATATATATATATATATATATTGAGGAAAAGGGCCTGGAAAATTTAACACGCACAGTATATATAAAAGCAGAAGGGGCAGAGGGAAAATGGAGTAACCTACTTGATAAGGTTTTGTATATGGATAGCAGAACAAGGACTGGGAGCGGTAGTAAGAGAACAAATATAGAGCTACAAAAGAGAAGTTGAGGAGAGCCATAATCATTGACATCCTAAAGGGGCCGAAGGAAACAGTGAATAACGTACTTAACAAGCTTGTGAAAATGGATGCCAGAGTATGGACTGGGAGGGATAGTAATGGAACAAACATTGCTTAGAATTATGACAAATAGAACGTTGTGGAGACCCATAACTGTTACATTGAGTAACCTACCTAACAAGCTTGTGAAAACCGGTGGCAGAACGTGAACAGAGAGCGATAGTAAGGTGACAAACATTGCTTAGAGCTACAAAGGATAGGAAGCTGTGGAGTTCGATGATTGCCTATGTCCTGAAGAGATACAGTTATTAAAAAATGAGAGCAATTTTTGGGTGGGCAGGAATTCTGGTGATAAAAAAGTTTTCGTTTTTCTTCTTTTGCAGTGTTCTATTTTTCCTTGAATTAAAACACGCCAGTTATTATTTCTTCTCTGAGTGAGTGTACAGTGGCCAGCAAGTTAGTCCTGTAGGTAATGAGAAGTGGTTTCAATCCTTACTGTTTGCTCTATAGTAGTGGCGTTGTGCCCAAATTAAGTTACGCTCGGCGGAGAAATAGATACCAGAACAGATTGCTCGAATTATAATCGAGTTCATTACATTCACTTATCCTTGGGAAAGGTATGAATCCATCTCTTGGCCCACCCAGCTATGGGTAAAATAGCAGCCCTGAGTGGTAATCGGTCTAAGAGGAGGAAAACTGTGAATTCAAAACCACTCACCTATACAATGGGTTAAGTAGCCTCACAAAACAGCAACTGGCCAAAGATCTAGTCATTCGGAGAGGGCGTTCCCCCAACAGGAGTGAGTAGGCTATAAACTTGGATTTCAGTTAAACAAAGAGCGCTTAGTTATGTTTTCTTATTTCGTCTGCCTGTCTCGCAGATGATTGCTCATGATTTCGATTTAACTGGCTTCCTCGTGGCCTTGTACCAAACAGTGTTTAGGTTATAAATATGTACTAACCTAAGTAAATATATCAACTAAAATTAAACAGTCGAATCTGAAATGATATACAAAATAGGCAACGATAACGACATACAGTTTACAAGTTGGCTCAACAACAGATTTTGGCAAAAAAATTAATCTCTTATCAAAATAACGTTTCTTAAGTTTATTCTTTAATATGTATAATCGGAAGTATGTACAAAATTCCATTAGGACTTTAAAAATTAATATTGTTGGTTTTAAATGTAATTTGTGATTTTTCCAATTTCTTAGTCGCTGTGCGAATTTTATGTTTTGCCCTCGATTGAGCTATGAAGAGCGAGGAGTGATAACTTGTTAGCACCATTTATTCTTGTCATTTAATAATTATAAAAAAAAAATTTTTTAAAAATCTGGTGGCGTCATTACCTAGTATTTCAGTATTTCTGTGACTATTCCCATACAGCATCTTTTATTTGCAGTGATGCCAAAAGATGCAACTGAATCTTTATTCGACAAGTCATATCCAACTAAGCATGGTGCTACTAACACTACTGATTCTGTCAACACTTACTTCGATAAGCAGAATCTTTGTTTTGCTACCATGGCAACCATTGATAACATTTTCAGCTTAAATTCGTGCACCACACACGCAACCTTCCCATTCTGTCCAGTCTCTGATGATACTACTACTACTATTTTTCCATTTTACTTACATCACACTGCTTTTTCGTCCGCTTCTGCTTCTACGCGAATTTTAGTCAATAGTTGTCGCAACTGACGTTTGTCCTCGGTATTCGGTCAATTTCACAGATATTTGCAAGCTTTGCAAGTAATAATGAGGTCAGTAGGAGCCGTATGCGCAGGTATTTCTCGCCTCGTTTTCATATTAATCGAACAGGGTATCCACAATGACGTATGACTTTCTCAACAGCCAAGCACGCATGCGCACGATCTAATGGTGTTTACGAACATGAATTTAATCTGTGGTGATCCTACGACGAACGCTAAAGGATGAATTTCATACTGACACACTATTCATTGCTGAATGATTAGAAGCGTTATTTATGTTAGTGTGTTCAACATTTGCTATTTGTATAAATTATACCGCTTAAAAATGCAATAGATGGTAGCTTTTTAAAGTAGGATTGATTAGATTTTGATAATTTGGAAATGACGGAATTTCTTTACTATTTTCTTTTAAAAAATAAATAGACGTTCTTGGGAAATGGTCGCTTATTTTAAAGTGTATTAATATAACTAATGAATCGGATCTAGACTGATGCATTCATGTGTCACTGTTGTTGTTCAAAATTTATTATAAACGGTTAATGATTAAACAAACCGTTTTAATTCAATTTTAGAACCTTACTTAGAAGTTCTGTTACTTATACAGTGGAACTTCGGTTCACGAATTTAATTCGTTCCTGAAGGCCGTTCGTAAGCCGAAATGTTCTTAAACCGAAACTATTTTCCCAATAGGAATCAATGTAGAGAAAAGTCGCAGTACAATAAAATTGAAAAAGAAAAGCACGGAACAACACACGAATGTATATAACACGGCGGTCGACTCAGAAATTATTATATTCGGGTTAACTTGGTTCGACAATGTTGTTCGAGATCCGAAATTTTGTTTGATAACCGATGCATTTTCATCTTGAATTTTCTGTTCGAAAACCGATTTGTTCGACATGTGAGACGTTCGAGAACCGAGGTTGCACTCTACCCGTAATAGAAGGACAATGCAGTACTAACAATATTGGATTGAAAATGGAAGCCAGGCATATTTTCTGCTATGTCCAATGTAACGGCGTCTTCATATGACTTTACCATGTCTGAATTCTTATTTTCCTGATTAGAAAACATTTATTTTAATCATTTCACTCCAAGCAATGCAATAAAGAAACTAAGACGCAAGGAGGTTACTGGATGTGAAAGAATATGAGAAAAAGAAAACATTATTAATAAGAGAACAATAAAAAAAAGCTGTATCAAGAATAAAGATGATAACGTCTGCCATTGAGGGTTGTAGCACATGTTAGGGTGTCAGTTATAGGCAAATACTGAACTCCCAAACAAAAATCCACAGTAATTAATAAAATGTTCAACAATAGATTCTTATAGCAACATGACACTCATTGCAACGCTAAAAAAATATAAAAATACATTTTTATAGTAAAATTAACAATGCATTTTATGAATTAGAAACTATATCTCTATAGCAACACCTTTTCTCTAAAAGTATAAAATTATTTGCAAAATATCAGTGGTGCATTAAATAACCCGTACAGGCTGCTATGCTGCTTTTCAAAATCAACCAATCAATGACCGACATTGTATTTGAATTTTGGAAGATCAAAGTTGACTGGAAATCAAGCGGTCGGAAGAGAGTTATAGCGATAGTAGAAAGAGAATAATGGACTTGAGAAATCAATGAAAAACTGTTTTAATAAAAGTATTTTATAACTGTTAACCGACAGTAACGTTGTTATTAAAAATCATTTCACCCCAAGCAAGACAATATAACCACTGAGACACAAGGAGTTGCTGAATGTTAGAGAATACGCGAAAAATAATAACATTATTAAGAAAATAGAACAATAACGTTAGATTTTCCACCATGAGATTCAGTTTATTGCAAGAGTGCCTTTCGATAACTAAGTTAGTGACAAAGCATACCTGGCTTGAAAGAATTAAGACGACAGAAGATAACGATTGACATTACATTTAAATTTCTGAAGATCAAAGTTGACTGGAAAGCAAGAAGCTGACAGAGAGTCCCACCAGCAAGAAGTGTGAGAGAAGAAACAGTTGACAAAACTTATGGTTACAGTTAACCATTTCAACTGTAAAATGATGAGACATAACTGACAATCTAGTGCCGGGCTTAAGTTCCAGACTTGAAAAAATTGATGGTCACAGGACAGATTGAAGACAGGAAAAGCAGAGGAAAACAACGCATAACCTGCCTACTTGGGTAAAATGATGGCACAGCAGAGTTTAGGAGAATTAACAAAAAGTCAAAATTTATTAAGAGCTACAGAGGGCGGGAAATTGTGAAGAACCATGATCACCAATGTCCTGAAGGGACACGTTCCATAAAAGAAAGATAATTATAATAAGGATATAAGTAATTTTCAGCGTTTTTGTATATTTTACTTAAATACATCCATAATCTCAGTAATCAATCTATTTTCTAGATTTCCAATCATCTGACACTTCTTTTTATGCATTAAGCTGATCCCAATATATTTTTAACAAAATATTCTTTTGCCACAAATTGAGAGCGTCACGATAAAGGAAACTATTGGTTGGTTGAAAATATTACTTTTTCAGCTAAATTTATCTTCTATCATGAAATAATAATTCCAGTCCTGATTCAATTATGTCTATGAGGAATATTTCGATATCTTGAAATGCTTGGACAACTAATGCTTTATTTGTTACTTACGGATTATCAACCATTTGTGGGTTATTTAAAGCCGAAACCTATTTTTAGATTCTAAGAATACTTTGAATATTACATTGACAATTTGTTTTTAAATAACTTATTTTTTTATATTTATTTGTTACATATCGGGTGGCATTTAAGCTAGATCCTGCGGAGGGTTCTTGATTGCGCCTTTATCAAAAGAGGTAGCGGGGTGTAGATGCGATTGGCAACAATATTCTACAGAAGAACACAAAATTGATCTCCTCATTTAAGTATTGCATTAATATTTAGGCTTACCTTTTAAAAGTTCAACGATAATTCTTCTGCCACCATTTAATATAAAGACAGTTTGATGTACGTAGGTCCTTACTTTCTGTAAAAACAATTATTTTTATTTCATGGGTGACTTTCGCTGGAGTTCATAAGTAATTTCGATTATTTCTAAATCTATTTCCAAGTTATAAAAAAATTACCGTACAAAAGATTCGTCACAAAAATAAGAAATATATCGCCGAACACAAACGCAGTAATAAATACATGAGAGTCTCAAATTTCTGGATTGTGGGTCCAGATCCGACCCGGAATGTTTTTAATTTGCTCACAGTCGGGGTGATTCCTAAATGGTATGATATGTTGGGTTACGTCATCTAGGACTAAAGTTGAAAATGTAGGAAACAGTGACACACTGACATTCGAATTTATTATATAGATTTATATTCTGGCTTCATTTTTTTTATATTTATTTATTATGTTAATTTTAATAATATTAATTTATATTAATTTATTAACAGATGAGACAAATAAGTCTCATCATTTTATAATTGAAATTTCTAGATGTAACCGTAAGTTCTATGTGCTAAAGGTTTCTTCTTTCACTTTACTCGCATATGGAACTTACTTCCGACTACTTGCTTGATCTTCAAATTTTAAATCCAATGTCAATCGTTATCTTCTGTCTTCTTAATTCAAAATCGTTTATTGTTCTCTCTCCTAAATAATGTTTGTCTTTTTCTCATATTATTTCACACTCTGTAACACCTAAGGTCTTAGCGACTTTATTGTTTTACTTTGGTTGAAATAATTAAAAGAGAGATGGAAGCTCTCTCTTAAGTGTTGTGTTCACTGAATACTAATTTTGTATATGCATAAAATGTTTGACGCGCTTTCGAGTTGAAACATAATCAAATAACTATCACATCCAAATTTTTCGAAAAGAGGCTTACAGACGTAGAGTAATGAAGGAGCATGCGCGTCAGCGAACCAGTTAAATCGTTGCTATGGCTACAGTTTTTAGCTATCAATATGTTAGCAAGCAAAGACAAGAGTGAGATTTCCCGGGCCAAGACAGACACGAGGATTTCGCATGGATAGAAGCAAGCAGCGAGAATTCCTCGTGTTGCTTCTACACTAACAGACCTTGGCAGTTGCCGGGTATATAAACGACGGGAAACAGAGAAAATCCGCCGTATCTCTCCCTCCCTCTCTGTTTAACTGTACGGGTGTTTGCTTGCGTCGGTGGGTGAGTATAAAGAAACGCTTCCATTCAAGCTACAAATTTGAGTTGGCTTGCATAGGAAAAAAAAAACGGAATTACACAGATAATTTCTTTGACAATCACACACAACAAGATTGAATGGGTAATCTGGCGTCGCTTATGTGGTAAAAGAGCAAGCTGGGTAATAATGTTTTGATCAGAGTTCGATCTTAAACGCAAACATTTAGCATTTGAAAAGACACAATAAATATAACAAAACTATTTTGTCAATAAAGCCTGCAATAAAACGTGCTTTTCAGCTCTTCATTGCATTCCTATATACAATCCATGTACAATGCATATTGTAAAATAATTTACAATTCATATCCATAGTAATGCAACCTATTCTGTCAGTAAAATTTGCAATAATTCCTAATAATTAGCAATCACTATTCTCCTGATGTTCAATGGAATCCTATAATAAAACAATTTACAGTTCATTTCTCTAATAAAATTCGTTATACATCACTCTAAACTCACAGCCACACGATCCCTATCTTCCTTAATATTTAATGGATTTCTATAATAAAATAATTACAAATACATTTTTATAATAAAATTTGCTATACATATAATGATATCATTCTGTCCGTCAGGTTGGCTGGAATTTCTAAACATTGACAATCATTTCCTTCTTGATGTTTACTTTCTTCTTATAGTAACAAGCGTCATACATATGATGACATTATTCTCTAAGACGTTTGCAGGATTTTCTAACCAATGACAATCACTTGCTGTCTGATATTTAATGAATTGCTATAGTAAATTTGATTATATATGTGATAACCCTATTCTTCCAGCTAAATTTGCCGCGATTCAGATTTGTGGGTGGTGTAATGAATAGCTGATCGGAATGAGAACATTGAACATTAGCACGCAATTTTAACAACCGTCTTTACCGAAAGAATCTATATTTACATATTTATATTAGGCAGTCAGAAATCTTCACTGAATAAAAATTCGAGTTCGAATTCCAGTTGGCTTCGTTACATTCATTTACGGGCAAATACTCTTAGGAAATATGTGAATCTATTTCCTTCCCCCACCTATCGGTTAAATAGTAGAACTTGTATCGGGCGAAAAACCTTGTTATTCTAAAAAAAAAAAACACTTAATGCAATATTCACTCCTCATCCACAAAAAATATCCCTACAATCTAAAATATATTCCGGTTTTAAATAACGAACAAAGATTTGATAAGATGCAAAAAAGCAAATCAATCAGTTGCTGCAATTTTTATTCAGTGAAGATTTCTGACTGCCTAATATAAATATGTAAATATAGATTCTTTCGGTAAAGACGGTTGTTAAAATTGCGTGCTAATGTTCAATGTTTCTAATGTAAAACCATTGATAATGCATATCTATCGTAAAGCTATTTAGAATTCATTATTATAATAAAAATTGTTATATACATTGACCCTTTTCTGTCAGATATGTTCGTAATAATTGATAACGACAGACAATCAGTTGCTGACAGATGGCGAATGCATTTTTGTAGTAAATTCATTTCCTATTTGTAAAATTTACTATGCATATAATCAGGGCTAGGTTATGACTTTTTGGGGCTCCCTAGGCTAATTAAATTATGCATGCTCCTCAGCCGGAGCCACACTGTAACTCGCTCGCCTCCGCCTGGAATATTTTTTACTCATGACATATTTTAGCGACATTTGCATGGCTTGAAGTAAACTTATTGCCAATAATTTAAATAAACTACAATCTAGAATTACTATCTTTTGTTCGTCAATAAAAATATTCTTTAAGAAATCCAATTATTTTACTATTTATTGAAAACCAAATTAACACATATTTCAAGTTACCCGGAGTAAAAAGAAAAAAAAAATTATAAACAGCATTATCCTTATTTTATTATAAGTTATTATTACAGAAACAAGTTGAAATCGCTATAGAGAAAGTGAGTGAGGGGTGGGGGGAAACAAGGTCAGAATTATAATTCACCCACCTCTTTAACATTCAGAAAAGAGGGAACGCTTTCCTTTTTCAATTTTCTTTTTAATCACCAGTCACTTGCTATCACCTAAAGAATTACAACGTAGTGTCGAAACATGAAGGCTTTTGTTTAGCGATTTCAACATGTTTTTGTTTTAATATCTTGTAATAAATTAAACAGCATATATATATATATATATATATATATATATATATATATGGATATAAGACAGTTGTCGGTACCGGAAAAGAAGTCTCTTATATCCGGATTTCTCTTATATCCGGGTTTGGTCTATTTTGTTTAGGTAAGTATGGGAACAATTTGGGACCAGAGAAAATCTCTCTTATATCCAGGTTTCTCTTATATCCGGGTCTCTTATATCCGGGTTACACTATATATATATATATGTATATATATATATATGTGTGTGTGTGTGAAAAGTGTGTGTATATATATATAATTATTTATATATTATATGCGCGGTACTTATTAGAAAGCGCTCAATATCAGAGATAGAGCTAACATATTTGGTTGGATTGATGTGAGTTTGTGTCCCTGGGTTTCACGCTTTTGCGATCGTCAGACCCAGGGTCACAAACTCACATCAATTCAAATATATATATATATATATATATATATATATATATATATATATATATATATATATATAAAATGAATGTTACTAATGTAATTTTCATTTTTCATTGCCCTGTATATATTATTCATCATATTTAAGGGTATTCTCATTTTTGTTTTACCAAAGTACAAGCATATCATATTTTGATCGTTCCTTATGCCAATAGAGTTCATATTTTATGTATTTCTTTATAGAGTGATTAATAAATATCACTCGCATTTGGAATTCTTATTTAATGATACTCTGCATTATAGAAATTGGTATGTAATACTTCGTATGTGCGCTACATTCTCCCAGATATGGCTTAGATAGTAGGGCAGACTGGAATCTTTAGGTGTGCTAAGCAACAAGTCTAACAACGCTGACCCTTCTCGGGTTAACATTGGCGTTGACATGAAAAAATTTCCCCTGAAGTGAAAAGATTAAATGTAACATGTATTCAATTGCTAGGTCTGGTGCTAATTCAATAAAACGACAGTAAGAAAATCCTCCTGTAAGTGAAGCACGCACGCGCGCACACACACACACACACACACATATATATAACCTTTAAAACACTAAAGTATTTCTAAATATATATGGTAAATTATATATATATATATATATATATATATATATATATATATATATATATATATATATATAGGGCAGACTGACGATTGCGTCCAGCATGAAACAGTTTATCGCGTCTTTTCTCTCTCTCTCTCTATATATATATATATATATATATATATATATATATATATATATATATAGAGAGAGAGAGAGAGAGAGAAATTAGATAGATAGATAGATAGATTAGATAGATAGATTAGATCGATAGATTAGATAGATAGATAGATCGCGGAGTGATTAGAACTTTCGTTTTTCAACCGTGAGAACTGGATTCGAATTTCTCTATAGCTGATCAGGTTTGCGGCAATATTTGAAAGCGCCTGGAGCCCATACTCAATCCAATCCTTGTGATTGAAATTAGGTAAACGCAATTGTTCGTCGATGACTAGAGACGACTGGTTTGAGCATACTGGATTAGCTCACACCTGCTATATGTTCTCCTAGAACGGCGTGATTAGTTGCATTATAAACCACAGGATGTTGAACAAAAAGAAATGCTTCTGAGCAGCAATCTGTAATAGGCATTGACAAACAATTATTATTGATAATATTAATAATAATAAGCCGACATCCCTTAGTGGAAACTGATTTATAATCGTTATCCTGCATTTCACGCCATCTCGCTGTTCGGAAAATTAATATAAAAAGAAAACTGTCAAAACCCTCCTTAAATAGCCACTCGGGGGGAAAAAACATGAAAATTTTTGCCTACGCGGCGGCTATTCTTCATTTAGTGTTCCTTTTCGAGTTTCTTAATTCTATAGACATGGAGCACTGTTAATTTTTGGTTATGTAAGGGTCTTTTTCCTTTTTACATCTTTTTCTTTCTTTCTAGGATTTGTAGAGGTAGAATTAGTTTTAAATTGCGGCATGCATATGACAAAACGCAACTTTTAATAATATGGTCATATGTTTTTTGACCATCGATGAAGGACAATAAGAGTGATCTCTTGAGGTTTATTATTGACTGTTGCTCACTTTCTGTATTCAAGGGACGTTCCTGCGAAGAAATATGCTTTATTTTTATTTTTTATTAATTACTAAAATAGGAGTAGGATGCACGGTGCAGTAATGGATGTCGGCACACATTGAGGAATCGGAGAGCTGAGTTCGAATTCCAGTCAGATCCATTACATTCTTCTTCTTCTTCTTCTTCTTCTTCTTCTTCTTCTTCTTCTTCTTCTTCTTCCATCAGCTATTGGCCAAATAGCTTTGGATGACAAATGGTCTACCGCAGAAAGATATGGCAACCTACTGCGGGGAAAATCTGCCTCGTGCTAAGCGTGTATCATGCATGGCACATAACTGACTGAATTACTAAAATAATCTTTAATAATAGCTTAAATATATCCAGATGGATAGATTACGTCAGAGTTGAAAGAAAATTAGAATTCTTTCTTTCTGAATGACATTTCTCAAGAGGAAGATGTTGTCAAGGGAGGTAAATAACAATTGTTTATTAAATTATCTCGCGTGAAATGGAATTTTTGACTCTAAAATAATATGTGACTATAGAATTAATATTTATATAATAATCTACATATACAAAAAGGATTGTCTGCACGTATAATATCCACATCTATAATATAATCTTTTTGTGCTTAACCCATTTCTACATCACAATGTCTAATCCCTACTCCTGATCTCATGAAGAAATAATAAAGACAATTTTATTTATAATTGTAGTAGTTGTTTGTTAGTGATATCATTAATTAACATAATAATATGGGTAGATGTTATGTATAGGCTTGCTACGTAACGTAGTGGCAATAGTACAGCGACTGTAGAACCAATATTGACAGCATATAACTGCAATCTCGACTTGGAATATCATAAAAATATGGGGTAAAAATATGGCGTAAAAATATGGCGTGGCCGATAGTATCTTTGTTGCATGTAGAAGACCCAGATTTTGTTGAAACTTGTTTCAGGTGATTCGCTGCCCTTCCTTGAACCAAGAAACTACAGGACAACAAAATAAATGCAGGTGGAAAAAATCTCAGATTTATTTCTGGCAACGGCCGGTCGTGAAGCCATTGGGAAGAGTTCGTTGCTGTCTTATTTAATAGAAGTGGAATAATTGACATTTAACCAAATCAGAGAGATTATTCTAAGGAATATTCGACACAGGAAAAGGTTGTTCATTGCCGAACAAATCAAGTTCTTGTCATTACAATAAGAATGTGAAAAGCCCATTATGAAATTTTTGAACCGGCTACAAGGCGCCGTGCAGATCTTGTGAATTTCTACATTTAGAAGAAGAAGAAATGTCTATCGAAGAGGAATTGATTCAACTAAGATAGTTAGAAGGAATGTGCAATAATTCACATAAATTTAAAATGTTACACCAGTTGCAGGAGTAAGTGTGGAAATGCTGTGAGAAATTTTTCCACGGTACTGCCGTTGAATCCATATTAATCTCAACCTGTGTCACATTTCGTTGCGTCATTTTCGTTTCATGTAAAGATATAATGGTACCTGGATTGTAGAAACAATACTGACTGCATTCAACTTCAATTCCAATTTGGAATATAGTAACAACGATATCTTTGTTGAATGTAGAAACTAAGTTCCGCTAAGCATATTTTCAGTGTAAAACAGGTGGGTTGTCTGAGTATTGCATAAACACACATATACATGAACAGGTGTCTCTAGCATAAATTAATTAAAAAAGTAATATATTTAGTTCTGTGTTAAGTAGTGAAACGTCTGATTGTAATTTCTATAATCTATCATACTGTTAAATAAGTATAAATTTAAAAGTAATTACAATATAATTTTGTCTGAATAATTTACGATATGTTCATGCTTCTTTTTACTGTACCTGTTGGAAGGAAGCCGTTTAAAAAGATATGTACTTTACCATTTAGCCATATTCTCTGTTGCCAATGAGTAGCCAGAAAAAAGAGGAAAATATTGCCTATAGTAAAAAAAAAACCTTTTCTGTTGCCAAGGTGCTTCACACATAAAGTTAGGGTTACCATTCTTGTTTCCATGTGCTCTTTGATGTTTCCTCAATGATTGCAACAGATTTTCTTGACAATTATCAGGAACATAATAATTGTCAACAGCGATTAAATAAAGAGATAGGGAAGAGGCAGTGTGTGTGTGTGTGTGTGTGTGTGTGTGTGTGTGTGTGTGTGTGTGGAGTGAGAGAGAGAGAGAGAAGGAAGATTTTTATATAAGACCATTTGGTTATGATGATGTAGAATTAGCTATAATCCTCATCATGAAACCTAAAATATTGTGAATGTTGGAGAGATCGCGAATTATAAAGAATCTATAATACTCGAAATATCAGAACATCTATCTATCTATCTATCTATCTATCTATCTATCTATCTATCTATCTATCTATCTATCTATCTCAGTCTGTTCATATCTATCTATCTATCTATCAGTCTGTTCATCTATCTATGTATCATATCTATCTATCTATCTATCTATCTATCTATCTATCTCAGTCTGTTCATATCTATCTATCCCAGTCTGTTCATATCTATCTCACCCTCATACACAGGCACACACACTCTCTCTCTAGACACACACACACACTATATATCAATCAGTTCGAACATTTGCCATGGAAATAGTAATAGAATATCTACAGTCTTGCGACGTTGAGTTTGTGAGAAAGAGATTACAGTGTATAAATTTGTCTATCTCATCTTATTTATCTCTATGTATCCCCCCTGTTGTCTACAAGTAACCCATTTTTTGCCTATGTATGAGATATTATAACATAAAGAGATTATCTACAAAAGATGTGAATGTATTCATAAAATATTTTCTTTATCCCTCACTGATCTTTGACGAGATAACAAAGTTCCTGCTTGACGTGATTTTTCTCCTCTCTACGCAAACAAGATCGGCTATCAAATTATTTTTTCTCTCTTCTGAATCTTTAATGTAAACACCATTATTTGTTTGTATATTCCGTAGAGACTATTCTGGAAGTACTTCTCAGCATTTTGTGGCTCTAGTTCAAATACTCAGCACATCTATCGTATCTATGTGTCTATATATGTTCTATCTATCTACGTCAGTCTCTTCATATCTATCTACTTCAGTCTATTCATATCTATTTATCTAATTCAGTCTGTTCATATCTATCTATCTATCTATCTCAATCTGTTCATTATCTATCTATCTATCTATCTATCTATCTACCTACCTATCTATCTATCTATCTATCTACCTACCTATCTATCTAATTCAGTTTGTTCATATCTATCTACCTACCTATCTATCTCAGTCTGTTGATATCTATCTATCTATCTATCTATCTATCTATCTATCTATCTCAGTCTGTTCATATCTATCTATATCTCTCAGTCTGTTCATATCTATCTCTCTCAGTCTGTTCATATCTACCTATCTATCTGAGATGTTGTGAGGTTCCCGCGTGTCGGTGTATGAATCAAGACAAACACAGTTGTAGAGGAAAATACTGGTATATTCATAAAAGCAATTAACAATAGAGTGATTAGTAGAACGAAGGTTGGTTAGTACGAAACAATATCCAAAGTCTATAGGCCAACGGTATGTACCGGGTAAGCTTATCTGGACTGCTAAGATATTCAGCCACCCACCCACGAGGGTGTCATGTGGCACAAGGCTTTTTAACGTGGGCATTCCCGAGCCATTAGGCTCGGCCAAAAAATAGCCCATTTGAACCCGTATAAACGGGTTCTGGGCCGATTTACCTCCCCGAAGGAGACTCCGCCCTTCGGCGTAGCCTCCTTCTGGTTCCTCCCGCCCGTAGGAAGAGAGTTGAACCGATCAGTCGCTCAGAAATTTTCTGGACGACTAAGATATTTAGTCACCCCCACGAGGGCGTCATGCGGCACAAGGCCTTTTTAACGTGGGCATTCCCGAGCCATTAGGCTCGGCCAAAAATAACCCATTTGAACCCGTATAAACGGGTTCAGGGCTGGTTTAACCTCCCGAAGGAGACTCCGCCATTCGGCGTAGCCTCCTTCGGGTCCCCCCGCCCGTAGGGAAGAGTTGAACCGATCAGTCGCTCAGAAATTTTCTGGACGACTAAGATATTTAGTCACCCCCACGAGGGCGTCATGCGGCACAAGGCATTTTTAACGTGGGCATTCCCGAGCCATTAGGCCCGGCCAAAAATAGCCCATTTGAACCCGTATAACGGGTTCTGGGCCGATTTAACCTCCCCGAAGGAGACTCCGCCCTTCGGCGTAGCCTCCTTCGGGTTCCTCCCGCCCGTAGGAAGAGAGTTGAACCGAGCAGTCGCTCAGAAATTTTCTGGAAGACTAAGATATTTAGTCATCCCCCCCACGAGGGCGTCATGCGGCACAAGGCCTTTTAACGTGGGCATTGCCCGAGCCATTAGGCCCGGCCAAAAATAGCCCATTTGAACCCGTATAAACGGGTTCTGGGCCGATTTTAACTCCCCGAAGGAGACTCCGCCCTTCGGCGTAGCCTCCTTCGGGTTCCTCCCGCCCGTGGGAGAGAGTTGAACCGAGCAGTCGCTCAGAAATTTTCTGGACGACTAAGATATTTAGTCACCCCCACGAGGGCGTCATGCGGCACAAGGCCTTTTTAACGTGGGCATTCCCGAGCCATTAGGCCCGGCAAAAATAGCCCATTTGAACCCGTATAAACGGGTTCTGGGCCGATTTTAACCTCCCGAAGGAGACTCCGCCCTTCGGCGTAGCCTCCTTCGGGTTCCTCCCGCCCGTGGAAGAGAGTTGAACCGAGCAGTCGCTCAGAAATTTTCTGGACGACTAAGATATTTAGTCACCCCCCACGAGGGCGTCATGCGGCACAAGGCCTTTTTAACGTGGGCATTCCCGAGCCATTAGGCCCGGCCAAAAATAGCCCATTTGAACCCGTATAAACGGGTTCTGGGCCGGTTTAACCTCCCCGAAGGAGACTCCGCCCTTCGGCGTAGCCTCCTTCGGGTTCCTCCCCGCCCGTAGGAAGAGAGTTGAACCGAGCAGTCGCTCAGAAATTTTCTGGACGACTAAGATATTTAGTCACCCCCACGAGGGCGTCATGCGGCACAAGGCCTTTTTAACGTGGGCATTCCCGAGCCATTAGGCCCGGCCAAAAAATAGCCCATTTGAACCCGTATAAACGGGTTCTGGGCCGATTTAACCTCCCCGAAGGAGACTCCGCCCTTCGGCGGAGCCTCCTTCGGGTTCCTCCCGCCCGTAGGAAGAGAGTTGAACCGAGCAGTCGCTCAGAAATTTTCTGGACGACTAAGATATTTAGTCACCCCCCACGAGGGCGTCATGCGGCACAAGGCCTTTTTTAACGTGGGGCATTCCCGAGCCATTAGGCCAAAAAATAGCCCGGCTGAACCCGTATAAACGGGTTCAGGGCCAAATTTAACCTCCCCGAAGGAACTCCGCCCTTCGGCGTAGCCTCCTTCGGGTTCCTCCCGCCCGTAGGAAGAGAGTTGAACCGAGCAGTCGCTCAGAAATCTTCTGGACGACTAAGATATTCAGCCACCCACCCACGAGGGTGTCATGCGGCACAAGGCCTTTTAATGTGGGCATTCCCTGAGCCATTAGGCTCGGCCAAAATAGCCCATTTGAACCCGTATCGGGTTCAGGGCCCCTCCCGAAGGAGACTCCGCCCTTCGGCGTAGCCTCCTTCGGGTTCCTCCGCCCGTAGGAAGAGAGTTGAACCGAGCAGTCGCTCAGAAATTATCTGGGCTGCTAAGATATTTAGCCACCCCCCACGAGGGCGTCATGCGGCACAAGGCCTTTTTAACGTGGGCATTCCTGGAGCCATTAGGCTCGGCAAAAAAAAATAGCCCATTTGAACCCGTATAAACGGGTTCAGGGCCGAGCGAACCTCCCCGAAGGAGACTTCGCCCTTCGGCGTAGCCTCCTTCGGGTTCCCTCGCCCGTAGGAAGAGAGTTGAACCGAGCAGTCGCTCAGAAAGTATCTGGACGACTAAGATATTTAGCCACCCCCCACGAGGGCGTCATGCGGCACAAGGCCTTTTTAACGTGGGCATTCCCGAGCCATTAGGCCCGGCAAAAAAATAGCCCATTTGAACCCGTATAAACGGGTTCAGGGCCGAGTTTTACCTCCCGAAGGAGACTTCGCCCTTCGGCGTAGCCTCCTTCGGGTTCCTCGCCCGTAGGAAGAGAGTTGAACTGAGCAGTCGCTCAGAAATTATCTGGACGACTAAGATATTTAGCCACCCCCCCACGAGGGCGTCATGCGGCACAAGGCCTTTTTAACGTGGGCATTCCCGAGCCATTAGGCTCAATAAAAACAGCCCATTTGAACCCGTATAAACGGGTTCAGGGCCGAAAGTTTAACCTCCCGAAGGAGACTCCGCCCTTCGGCGTAGCCTCCTTCGGGTTCCTCTCGCCCGGAGGAAGAGAGTTGAACCGAGCAGTCGCTCAGAAAGTATCTGGGCTGCTAAGATATTTAGCCACCCACCCACGAGGGTGTCATGCGGCACAAGGCCTTTTTAACGTGGGCATTCCCGAGCCATTAGGCCCGGCCATTTGAAAAAAATAGGCCCATTTGAACCCGTATAAACGGGTTCAGGGCCGGTCGCTCAGAAAGTATCTGGGTTTGCTAACTACCTCCCCGAAGGAGACTTCGCCCTTCGGCGTAGCCTCCTTCGGGTTCCTCTCGCCCGTAGGAAGAGAGTTGAACCGATCAGTCGCTCAGAAAGTATCAGGGCTACTAAGATATTCAGCCACCCACCCACGAGGGTGTCATGCGGCACAAGGCCTTTTTTAATGTGGGCATTCCCGAGCCATTAGGCTCAGCAAAAAAATAGCCCATTTGAACCCGTATAAACGGGTTCAGGGCCGAGTTTAACCTCCCGAAGGAGACTTCGCCCTTCGGCGTAGCCTCCTTCGTGTTCCTCTGTCCGGAGACAGAGAGTTGAACCGAGCAGTCGCTCAGAAAGTATCTGGGCTGCTAAGATATTCAGCCACCCACCCACGAGGGTGTCATGCGGCACAAGGCCTTTTTTTTTTGGGCATTTCCAGGCCATTAGGCTCAGCCAAAAAAATAGCCCATTTGAACCCGTATAAACGGGTTCAGGGCCGATTTAACCTCCCCGAAGGAGACTCGCCCTTCGGCGTAGCCTCCTTCGGGTTCCTCTGTCCGGAGACAGAGAGTTGAACTGAGCAGTCGCTCAGAAAGTATCTGGGCTGCTAAGATATTCAGCCACCCACCCACGAGGGTGTCATGCGGCACAAGGCCTTTTTTAATGTGGGCATTCCCGAGCCATTAGGGCTCAGCCAAAAAAAAAAATTTTGGAACCCGTATAAACAGGTTCAGGTTGAGTTAACCTCCCCGAAGGAGACTTCGCCCTTCGGCGTGGCCTCCTTCGGGTTCCTCTGCCCGGAGACAGAGAGTTGAACCGAGCAGTCGCTCAGAAAGTATCTGGGCTGCTAACCCTGACTCTCTCCCCAGAACTGACTTATATAAGAGGGGCCAGTCCATTACTAGTTAGAAGGTGGGTGCACCCCAACACTATCTATAACCTATCGCTTACAAAAATATATCGCTTAGCATAATATAAAATTCTGAATATTTTCAGAAAACAATAAAAAAAAAAAATCACTGACAATCGAATTACCTTATTTGTAATTCTTTTGATACTCGTCCACGATTGTTAATTCTCAGTATTTTTTTCATACAATTTACAGTTTGTTATAGTAGGGAGTAAACAGACAGAGTTATTCCTGTATATCTATAAAGATCAAAGCAAAGAAATGAAGACGCCTTGTCGAGGGAAACACACTTTTTAGTTTTGTGTCCGAAATAGAAATAAAGTCGCCTATATTTCATAGATGAAAGATATTAGAAAATAATCAATATTGGATTTATAAACGAAAAACTGAAAAGATTTGTCAAGCATTTCGATGTTTATTAGCATATAATTACTATTAAAGCACAACGACTAGATGAGATAAGATCAAGACAAAACAATAAGTGACCGTTTTTTAATGATTTCATCCCAAGCAAGGAAATAAAGTCACTAAGACGCAAGGGGTTACTGAGTGTGAAAGAATAAGAAAAAGAAAATATTATGAAGGATCGAGGAGAATAAAAGAAGACAAATCATGAAGACAGTAGATATCGCATCACATTGTATTTATATTTTTGAAGATCAAAGTTGACTAGGAAGCATTGAGCAGGAAATGATTTCCACAAGCGAAAGTGCGAACTGTTAGCATAGAACTTACAGTAACATCTAACCATTTCAACTGTAAAATGATGAGACCTTGCCGTCAATCTAGTACTGCGCTTAAATTCATAAAGTCTGGGCAACATAGAGGAAAGTTCAGCAGAACAATTTTCCATGAAAATAAGAAAAAAGTGGATGTAAGTTACAAGGGGGTTACAAGGAAGTTCAGGAATTTTCAAAATATTTTCTAAACA